TGTCGAAAAAAAGGGATTTACTCTCAGTGTATGAAAACACGATTGAATAGAATTGCGCATGATTATTCTAACACTTCTCTATTGCAGATATTGATAAAAATTCAAAGTGCACTCTGTCACACATTGTGAGTAACGTCTCGTTGATATACGTATCAAGGACTGGCCCGTGATCCAAATTCGCAGGGCGTAGAATTTTCTATAAATTTGTTTTATATGGGTATTATCGTAAACGTTACACAATACTCTACACATAAATCTTTTATGTACGTGCGTTACGATATCATAAGGAACAAAAGAGATATCGAAATCAAACGGAGAGGAAAGTAGAACAATCTTTTTACGAGAAAACTTACGTTAACCATTTATAGCATATTCCTTCTGTTTTCCAGGATATTCCACAGTTTCTAAGAGGTAAGCTGTTTTATAAACTTATAAATCTCTCGAGAGTATTCCAAACGTACAAACGTAAAGAAGAAGTTTCAAGTTACCATGCTGCATAAATTCCAATGAACTCTTGCGGCGATTTAAAGAACACAATGAGGTCTTGCAATAACCTCAGTGAACCAGTTCCATCGTCGTTATCATAACGACGTTGGATACATATCTTTATTTGATACACAATTTAATTTCTACCATGATAGTGATTAAGAATTATTCGCCAATGTCGATTTGAAACGATAGAATATCCGTAATATGTAACAGAGTGCATATATCTGCATTTTAAAATTATTAGATCAAAGATAATTAATATACAACATGATTAATAACGTAATTAATATTTATAATAATGTGTCCCAATGTTATAATAACGTCTATAACTCAATACATTTTATTATAAACGTAATTAAATATACAATTGAGACTGTTAAATTTGACTATTGACACATTTATCATCAATGATTTATATTTAATTTTCTTGCAAATTATGTTATATTCCATAATAATGAAATTAATATGGAACGGGTGTTTTATAAAGACTTTGTTGAGAAAGCCTGATTGTAGTAACATTCGTAACATATCATGCCATCTTACGAAGTCTGCTTACCGCGTGTTAATATTTTACGGCAAAGCCGACGCAGGTTATGGATATGACACGCGTATAGCGCCCATAATATCATTGCACATGGGTACAGCAATAGACCGAGACACGATGGGGCGGACCCGACGTGGAATTAATCACTGCGAAGATCGTACGCGGTATATACGCGTCTGTCGTAACCGGAGAGATCCTTTAATGATTCCGTTTACCCCGTACAAGCTCGACGTGGAAACCTCCAATACACTCTTTCGCTGCTCTCGACAACGAGTTTCTCCTAAGATTCGTTTGAAGATGTTGTCGCTCATCATAACACATTTACATTGAATCTTTAACCAAGTAAAAATAAAAAGAAACAAGATTTTCTCGATGCCATAAATACATCTGTGTTAGTTACTACAGCGGGTTGCGAAATTTGATTTCAGTCAAACCAGCGCATTACACGGAAAGAACGATTTTGCTAAAGTATCTAAAACCTTGGATATAAAAAATCATTTTATTGGAATATTAAAATATAGGACGCTTAAACATACACTCTAAATTTCTTGCAGTGAAATCTCACTTCAAGAGAGTGAAAATGCAACTACCCTTGAAAAAAGTGAAAATATTTTCACTTCTTGAAAAAAAGTGACGATCTTCACTCTTTTTGAAGTAAAATATCACTTTTTTGGAGTGAGATTTTACTACTTTGAAGTAAAAATTCACTCCAAAATGAGTGAAAATTGTCACTTTTTCAAGAAGTGAAATATTTTCATTTTCTTGGAGTGAGATTTCACTGTAAGAAATTCGGAGTGTAATGAACAATATTGTAAAAATTGTTGACTTTTTGATCTAACAAAAATTATAACAAAATTATTTTTAGATGCGTATCTAACTACATTTTAAGTACATGCTTTAGCAAAATCGTTCTTTCCGTGTATGTAACACGTTGAATGTATACGTTTGTGCACGTAACATGTTGGATATCGTAAAATTAGATAGCATGTTTGGATAAGGGAGTTAATGTCACAGGACGATGTAAAATCGCGAATCTTGCATGAGGCGAGATTGAAGCGGCACGGGGGCATCCTGCGTTGCAGCGAAGTCGTAATTGCGCGTTGTCAGGAAAACGTTGCGAAACCCTTGTTAATAACGGGCCGAGCGCGGGATGATTTATATCGTAGCCTATTTAGCGGCGATTAGCGCTTCGCGTAGAGTTACGCGCGCTAGTCGTCCGCTTAACAAGCTTAAACTTAAATTACCGTATTAATCGCGCAGCAGCACCGCAGGGTCTAACCGAGTAACCACCTGAGCGGTACACGCGATCGCAAATATGTCGTCCGGTATTTCCGGAACCTCGTAAACGTATAACTGCATTAGAGTGGAAACTCCATGCGCGCGACCTACGACATCCTGCTGGCAAATCTCCTCAAGTTGCAGCGTCACCAAAGGACACGTGCCGCCGCGTGTGCCGCATGTGCGCGCTCGACGAGGAGGATATTTCGAGGACAACGGACCGGGATAACGGAGAGAGGATAGAATTCTGAACGATATGGAGCACCGTACCGAAACACTCGTCCGATGTAGGCTTGCACGATCGTAAATTCCGTGAAACGATGGTACATCCAGCCAAATTATACATGTCGTAAAATATTCCTGCCCAGTTTCTAGCAAGACAGCTTGGAAGTATTTCACCTAATATCATTTCTCCCTCTGGTCTGTTTCTTCCCTTCACTCGACTGCCAAAAGACGAAGAGGGTGGAAAGCTGGGATTGAATCGAGGAAGGAAAATGAATAAATACGGCGGTAGTTTGCAGGAGAACAAAACACTACTCCAGTACGTTTCTATATGTCACAGAGAGAGACGGTAGGGACCATGGGAACAAAACAATATTTTTCAATGTGCTAAAATTATCGAACACTCTCTTTTAAAATACCTAATAACTAAATTTTCCCTTCTTCACGGCTATATTTCTATAAAGTGAAAAACGAAAGCGCATCTACAGAATGGGATATTTAATTAGCGTTCCTTCATCAGTCGTGTTGGAAAGAGGAATTTTATCGTCGGGTTGTACAGTCACGTATGAAAGAAACGTACAGAAACACGGCTTTTATCATGAAAATGTAATGGTATAACTAATTAATTTTGTAAAGTAGGGAGACAAATTGCATTAGGTTTATGACTGCTTCGAACGATGCGCTTCTGTAATTAGGATAATTTTTTACGAGCGTGAAAAGGAGTGCTCCGTCCTTTGGCGCTTGTCATAAAAGAACTCTACGAGGTGAATATATTTTGTAGTCTCGTCATGAACGGAAGTTTTGCGGCGTCGCGTCGAGAGAATCACATCGCGCGACCATTTCCATTTTCCATCTACGTGAAACGTCAGGACACGTCCGTTCCTTGCGAGACGTAATAGATACGGCGGTCATGCGATATCGTTGAACTACGGGATATAGCGGAATCGGATTTACTGGACATGTTCAGCGAGCCGTAAAATCGGATCGTATATTAGAAAATTTTTCGTCGATGTACATCGCGATTTTGAACTCTCTTCGAACATCTATGATGTCTCATCGAAAAAAGACTTCTAAAAACGATAGAATGTCTCGAAACTGTCGAGTGGATTAAAACTGCGGATCATGGTATTACTAGTACCGTCTTCGAGAAAATCAACAGAGAGATTTTTCAAGCAGCACCGAAAAGTTGCACCGCATTCGAACTCTTTGAGGATGAGACTCGAACGAATCGGGGCAGCAGGACGCGTCACGAATCTGTTGCAAACAAGTAATTGGAATGGAAAAGTTAGGCAGACGAGACTTCTGGTTTAACTTGAGTACGAATCGAGAATCTTTCTCCGGCTGACAGTCGACTGACGTTTCTGAACCTTGGGATGCAGCATTAGAAGACATTTTAACTTACGTACTCGTGTTTGAAACGAATAAAAGATAGAGTCTTTATATACATGTCCAAATATTGCTTAGTCTTGAAAATAATCTCTCTTGGAAAATGATTGTAGAAAACATTACAAGAGTATATTAAAAAATATTCTGTTTTTCTTCCTAACGATCATAAAATTAGTAATGTTTTTTGAATTTATATATTTATACACAGAGTGTGCCCCGAAAATAGAGGGTAATAAGACTATAGCATAAAAGTTCTTAAAAAAATTAAATAATAAAAGTGCTTGCTATTTTTTGAAACAAAGTGGTTTTTAAATTTGAAGATTCAAGATATAATTAATTCTAAATCCGTTGGTTAAAAAGTCATCTACCTGAATGTTCTGTAATGGTATTAGATATTGAACACTTCGAGATCTACCGACACTAAGGGGTCGATTCTGTGATTCTTAACGATAGTCATTGATGTCGTTACGTAGATTAACAAAGCTGCGCAATGACGTAAGAATTACAGAATCGGCCCCTCAATAAAACATTGTAAAATAAAAAATTTTTAACCAACATTTAGAACTGGTTATACCGCGAATTTTTATACCAAAAACCTATTTTATGAAAAAAATAGCATGCATTTTTATTATTGAATTTTTCACGAATATTCATACTGCAATTTTATTATCCTCGAATTTCGGGATATCTTTCGGAATATCCATATAAATACCCATTGTCTTTCATTTTTACATTAATTTCATGAAAATAATCGGATGGATGCTTGATTGGCTGTAAGAAAACATTCTTTCACAAGGTGCGAAAGTAAACAATCAAAATGGTATGGTAGCTTAAATGTTTCCAACTGCTGAAAGCACCGGGCGAGAGGTGAATACGGGCTGAATCAGATCAAAGGATAAAGTCGTCTTGTTTCCATTGTCATCCAACACTTTGATCTCACGTATACGCGATACGTTACTCCTCAACGAGGGACAATGGTATAAAGTTTCCAGTCGTTCTCAATCGCTGCGAGTTTTGAAACGTTGTAATAGGATTCCTCGTTGCGACTCGCGTAACATAAAGGATTTATACAGATACTCACCTGACGTGGAAACAGGGATGAAAAGCAGCTGGATTATCCTGCGCGGAGAAGTTCGGCAAAGTACCATGAAGTAGAGCGAGCCGTACCACAAGAAGTATGCTAAACTGCAAACATTAAATGGTCGATAAATTTTCATATTGTTCCAGAGACACATTTTTCTTTCAAATATGATACTTATGGAAACATCTACGCACATTAAAACAAACGTGGATTTAAAAGCTGATTGTTTGAATTAATGCTCATATTAATATTCAAATTAATGTTTAAATTTAAATTCAATAAACTTGATTTCTTGATATTTTTAATAATAGGAAGAATTAAAAATCTTAAATATAGCATGTCTTACATGTATAATATATATAATCTCAACAGTGCATTCATAACGTGAACATCAAATGTGACGTGAGAGACTGGTATTCTGTTTATATTTTAAGAAAGATAATACGGTTCTGTGATTGATTCGTGACATTTTAAAGCGGTCTTAAATATAAGACTATAAATACCTAAATTAAATTTCTCTCTTACTTAAGAAAATACGCTTGTATTTCGTGCAAATTTATTAAATTAAAACCCGCAACTTCTTTACATTTATATTTTATCATAATTGTTGAATCATAAATTGTTATTTTATATTTATGCTTATATAACAAAAATGTGAAATAAAACAAAGTAATTGAACTATACTTTCAAACAGTCTCTCAAATTATTTCTTCAGTTTATTGATTCACTGCACAACGGTAGAAACGTAAATATAGAAAGATATAAACCATTACAATGCAGTGAAGTGAATCAAAGTAGAGTTAATGTTCCAAAAGTGAAGCAAAGGCAAAATTGTGCATTCGTATGCCGCGTCATGTGATACAATTTTCTCTTCACGTTAATTATTCATCATCTGTAAGATACGTGGCGAGAAAGCTAGTAATACATCTCGCAATAATGTTACCAGTCGACGCAACGCACCCAGTCACGTTCTACTAAATGGTTTAATTAAGTAACACGATTCGCGTGTCTGAATAGCAAAGAACGAAAGGTAGTTGCTTTGCAGTCTCTCTCTCTCTCTCTCTCTCTCTCTCTCTCTCTCTCGCGCGCGCGCGCGCGCGCCAAGACGTCGTCACGTTCACGCAGAGGATGACACGAGACCGTCGTCACATTTCCGTCACGTCCTCCACAGAGCTCGCTAACCCAATAGACGTCCGTACCATCCTCCGATAGACCGCTCTCTATCCCTTATTCCGGAGTTATCCAGGGACGTTGTTGGCCCTCTCACTGTCTCTCCGCCTTTGTACCTACGTCGGGGTCGCTCTCACTCGCATTCTTGTCGACGGACAGACACGGTGGTGAGTGGTTCTGGAAGGGTTGGAGAGTCGGACAATATCTGCCAATTCGAGGTATTCATATCCTCTAGGATCGAAGTCGACAGACGAGGGTAGCGTCCATCCTAAGCAGTCACACGAACACGTCGTATGTACGTAACGCTGTCATCGAAACGCCGCATTCTGTAGAGACGTTCGACACCAATGCCGGCCTTGTTCTTCGATGGGAAGCTCTTGGAATATTGTATTACGCCACCACGAGGATCTCGGCTGACCTGCGGAATACGGCGAGCGGAACGGAAATTCAATTCCGATAAATATCCGATCTACACGAAATGTCGTATCGCATATTGATGCAGCTTTTTTTCGACATTTAACCGAGCGAACTTTTAACCGTGGATGAATACACAATTGTAAGTAATGCCTTACAATGTAATGCTTAGATACAGTAATGGAAAGCTAATAAATTAGAGATTATAATACATTCTGCAGACTAATACATATCTTATTCTTTTAAGATTAAGATTTTTCTGGAAAATGCATTTATTTACTTAATATATTCGATTAGATATCGATTAATAATTAGGTAATGATAAAGTGGATGCAGAAAGCAATCGCGATAATGCATTTTTTGCTGGTATAGTAGCTTCGATCGTAATTTCTCTTTAATTGCAGTATCTTAAGGGAGTGTAAGACAAGCGAGAGTTAAACGTTAAGCCAATCAGATGACAGTGAGCATAGCAATGTACAATTGGTAAACAGTGTATCTACCCCTCTCTCTCTCTCTTTCTCTTTAATGGATTGGCCTATTGATTAGGTTTGTCACATTAGATGTTAGTTATATAATACGTCTTTAGTGCTCGTGTCTTCTAATATAATAGCGATGATTTTTAGTATGATTAATTGTATTAAATAATAATTTAATAATTTTTTAATGTTAATTTCTTCAGAAAATTATTTGTTAATTAATAGGTAACTATCCGAAATATAAAAGAGACGTAATTACGCTGTCTCACTTATGCAGAATTGAGATAGATGGTTTTGCTGAAATATCTAAAAATTTAACTTAGATTTGAAAATATTTGATTGAACCATTGAAATATTTAGAATGCTTAAACATTGATGACAATATTGCAAAACATTTTTACATTTTAACGGCTAATTTGAGCGTCCTAAATAAGTATTTTGGTCCAAACAAAATTATTTCCAAATATATGTATCTATAGTTACATTTTTAAATACTTCATTAAAATCGTTTTTTCCATGTAATCAATAATAAGAAGTATTATTTTACAAATAAAATATAATGTCTTTATCTCAGTTTGTTCAAACAAAAGAAATTATAAATCTGACAAACTACATTCAGCGTTAGCCAAAATATAGCATTGTATTCTAAAATATTAGCGAGCTTTCCTGGCAATGAAGACTGAGAAGCATCATTGAGAATGACGTACTTGAGGAGTATAAGTGCTACGGGATGGCGGAAACTACAGGGGTGGAAAGAGATCCGGGATATGTAGATAACTGTGTGAGAGTAGGTCGTGTGCAAGCACGCCTCCCTCGTTCGGTGGCATAAATTAGCATAACTCAGAATCGTGTTCGGTTAAAGTACTTTCCATGCGCAACCTTTATTCCTGCATTGGCCCACGTGATAGATCGTGCTCCCGCCTTGACTTACCACAATACATCTTAAGGGTGAAATACGTTATTTAGCAATTCCAATACTGAGGGAAATTATACAATTGAGTTTACCGTCTAATTATACACTACAGAATTTTAATGTGAAACTTGAAACTCTGTTCCTTCAGGAACTATCTTTTTATAGAAACTTAACTTACAGAAAGATTAATGCAGCTATAAAAAAATTACGATCGTAGAATTATTGTCCGTTTATACAGGATATCCCAAAACTAACGATAAATATTTTAAAGACAGATTCTTTGTAACGTTTTAAGACAACAAATCTAATGTCGAGATTATGATACTTTTCAAATGGAAAGAGTTTAAAAATTACGAATGTGAGGGATTTCGCGCGTTCGGGGATAATCAATATCAAAGCATTATTTAGTTATTACATACAGTTCGAGATAGCATCTAATCTTGATATTAAAAATTTTTTTATTACATTTCGTATTAAACTTTTCTTAAAATTTTACAAAAAAAATCTCTCTTTAATGTATTCATTATCGGCTTTGGAACATCCTGTACATCATTTCATAATTGTTAAATACTTAGTATTTAATATACAATGTTTGCTTGATAATGGGCGTAATACAACCATTATTGATTATGAGAGATATGCTATCCTTGGATCTTTATCGAACGCTTCTGCGTGTTGGTAAAGGTGCTTAATATGACGCCGTCTAAATTAATTCGCGACAATAAAGACGATGAGCGCCGGCGCCGTAAGAGGCAGCGTTTCTTGGGTATGAACATCAACGACAGTAAAGCGCCGAGAATTTAATAGCATCTCATAAACTCCGTTTAGGGGTTACACCTTACGGTGTCGTGATCGGCCAACATGACCTCAATGGATTTGAACCGAAAATACGAGAAATTCACATCCTTTATCGAAGAAATTTACCACTCAACTTGAGACTCCTTTGAAGATTCGAGGTACTTCACGCCCGCGTGGATTTTACTAGAAAGAGAGAGCCTTCTTAAAAGCTTTACTATTCGCAAAAACTTTAAATCCTGTTTGAAAATTAAGTTTCAAAGAGGATTCCAAATTAAACGCATAAAACGTTCGATCGAAATTAAACTGTGCAAGTTTTCCGCTTCTTTGAAGTGTATTCAAGTTAAAATGTGATGTTTAACTTTAATGAATCCTAAAGGAAGATAAATTGATCATTTAATTATTGCCGTCACTTAACAAAATTAATTGCGAGAAAGCTGATTATTATCATGGATGCCGATGGTAAGCCCGTGCCGTATTTTCGATTGCCGAGCATTATACAATACCCATTTATGCGAATCGTACATCATTCTGTTGATCTTTTGAAACTGCCGCTATTTCATCCCTCGCTTCGTTTGCCGCACAGTTTGTCTTGTGTTGCATAGCAGTTCGGGGAATGTTATTTATTTTCGGCGACCGTAAAGGGAAATTCTCCACGTCGAGTGTATCTATGGTAACGATCGTTAAATTTGCTTAAAGCACGAGTTGCTGTAAACATCGGTGTCTGACTATAGCCAGGCGATAAAAACGAAAGATATCGGTCGTTAAGAATTAATGCCAGCACGGAACAGAGAGAGCGAAAGAGAGAAAGGATCCACGCTAATTCCGTGGATTATAGAAGAGCGACGATCGTGTTTTCTTAACACGTAGAAAAATCCCTTTCAGGAATAACGCCGAGTTATACTATACTAGCAGCTACGTTAAAACAGTGTGTGAATACACAATTGCAAACGATTCGCGATCACTTCATCAAGATTTTTATCTTATTTTCTTCTTGATATTTTTAATAAATTTTCTGAATAAAATAATCAAAGACAAATCAATATTATACAATATGATTCTCTCCCAATTGCTGTGAAGGCTTAATGTGAAGCTGCTTGATTTTTCTGTTAATGCAGTTACGTGATAAGTTGAGAGTGTACAAACCTAAATGAATAAATATAGTCATGGACATCCCTGCAATTCCCCGGATACCAGAAGTGCAGACATTGTCGTTAATACAATAATAGCAAAGCTAGTCGCTCTTGCCACTCGTTTGAAAATCCTGTGGGACTTCCATGCACGACCGAATGTGCATGGCGCGTTAAGGGGATTCCAATCCTCTTTGACCATTACTAACTCATCTATATTTCACATCATTACAGAGTCATTCTTTCTTCTCGATCTTTTAGGATTTAATATGATTGATTGCATTTAACACCCAATATTAGGATGACATTGATCCATCGAATACATCGCCCGTTTTGAAACATAAGATTTTGTCACGATTACATTCACACTTTCATTATAAATCAGAGTGATATAATCGTAGTATACCAATTATCGTATATTTACATTATAAATGTAGACGCGATTTTATTTGTTACTATACTAATATTATCTCATAACTTACCGAAACGAGTAACGCTGCAGCACGTTTGGAAAAATATCTAGAATCGTCGTTCCACTTGGCTTCGAAAATAGACCTGTAAAATACATGTACCGAATAACGTGATGGCTTTTTTCGTATTGCAGATTATATTATACGTCTACCGTTGTGAATATAAAAAAAGTACGAACACTGCGCCAGTACACTATCACCATGATTAATAGTGCACCTAGTCAATTTTTGAAAAGAGTTTGCATTCTCTCTCTTTCTCTCCAACACGAAACTTTAACGCGCCGAAATATTTTGACCGCATTTTCTACCGTCACGAGAAGCACATTTACCGCTTTGGGACATGCGACATAGAATTCGTGGTGATTTTATTGTCGTTGCACGTGATTTCCGGTGGAGAACGAATAAATTTCGTATCTTTTTCGTTTAACATCTAATTTTTCAAACACGGCATACAAGTATCTTAGATTGATCCTATTGACTATGAAGTATTATAAATAATTGAAATCAAGATAACTATGTCAGTTTAAAGTTTACCTCAAAGACATTAAACCTTACATTTCGCCAGAACGTACACCACGCTCCAATAGCACTTAAACACTTACCTCTTGATTGAATGCCAGGAACGACAGAGATCGTAAAGAAGGTTTAGTGCCAGAACAGTAACACCAGTTTCCTTCGCCAACATCGATAGAGCACCCAAGCAAACGCTGGACCATACATAAGCCGTCTGCTGGCTGTAAAAAAAGTAAATATTTGGAAATTACATAAAAAAATATACAATCTTTTTTAAATTGGATTTTGTCTTTTACATACTTAGAAGACATAAATCGATTTAAATCTTCAAATATCACGGACTTCAGTATTACTATCTTCATTCATATATTATACAACAATTGTAGACTTGAGAACAATTTCAATCGGTGATTATAGTTAAAAATGAATGTAATTTAAGTACACAAGGCGTCTTATAATTATGACTATAACGTCTTGCAATTTTTTTATTAATTATTAAAAGATATTGTAAACGCAGTTTATATTATAAGAAATAATACATTTAGAATTTAAAATCTTTTTTTATATAAAATATTATTTTTAAAAATAGATAAAAAAATTGTTATAAATATAGAATAACCAAAACGTCCGTATATGAGAGAAATAATACTTTAATAATACAACCATATTTTTGCTTGTACAGATGTATTTCATGATATTTCCAATATATTTTTCTCTTCTCAAGTCGCGAATAGAAACGTCGGTATCGGGAAACAATTCTCACCAGAACATTGATCCAAAGACATGTAGGATTTATTCGTTTACGTCGGTCGGCATCTACATCAATCTACGTTGAATGACAGATTCGTTCCAAGATGTCATTCGAAATTTTAGGAACAACGAAACCAATGTAACACCTGTCCGCCGAGACAAGACCTTCCTCGTTCATAAAAACGAGGTAAAACGGCTGTGGTAAAATGGAAGTGTTTCTTATAATTTACATCAAGCCTTCTAAGTAAGATTAATAGTAACTCGCCACGAAGTAATGGCAAAGTGCGAATAAGAATACACCCACTTTGTAGAGAAGTAAAGCGATCAAGATTTAAGAGAACGACAAAAGTCTTGATGATAAGCCAAACGTATAATTGGAATTAATCATCGGTGGGCTTAATCGTCGAGAGATTTAAATGCGATGCGTAAATGGTTGGGAAATTGAATTGAAGACGTAAGAACTAAGAGACACCAGTCAGGTAAAAAGAAAGAAGATAGATAAGCATAAAGTGAGGCGATGAAGCAAAGGTGGAAGGAAACGAAGAAGAAAGAGTACTCAAAGGCAGCCAAGAGTAATCAATTTCCTAGGTTCGAAGACAAGCATCTTACCCTTCCGCCAGCCATTGGCTGCCCGACGCTAGCCCTACAGACGGAGTTTTACCTTCTTGTCTTCTGCAAACGCTTTTTTATGTTGGAGTACGACCTCTACAAAAGCTTTTTACGCTCTTACAATCAAGTCCGTCTTTACAGATTTTTCGTTATATTCAGGCTTTTCTGCGCAGTTTATTAATGAAATTTACTTAAAGTTTACAATTTAGCTTCTTTATGATTAATTAAACTTACGTTGAGAAATAGCGACGTATATCTGCCGTAAAGTCGTAAAATGAATATTACGAGAATAATGTCTCTTTAGAAACATAATTGAAATTGTTTTGTGCGTTGAGTCATTCTTCTTAGCTTTTGTGCTGAAGATCGATCGTGAATAACCCAGGGCACATTTACGATCCCACGTAACTGTAATAGTAGTTTGTAGAGTAAATTAGTTTAGTTTATAATTTTCGGGCTCCATGTACATGAGAACGAATGGGTCGCTGTTTTGGCGTCAGGCTGGCGTCGTCGCGACGTTAAGTGTCGCCCGACATTCTTGACGTATGTGCAGCCTCTAAGTTCCTCCAATTTACAGAAGGGTATATCAACTGTATTCTAACTTTTATATTTCAATATATATTATATTTATATATAAAAGCATAATGTAGGGCGAGTGCGAAATTTTTTCTACTTAGGTTAGCTAAATTACTTTCTGCATAACTTTGAAATTTATATTTGTTGTATATATAATCTCTCTCTCTCTCTCTCTCTCTCTCTCTCTCTCTCTCTCTCCCTCTCTCTCAGGTAAAGACATATTTAGATAGAAAAAATTTAGTATAAACCATTTGTATGTCCATATTCGTTAATCTTAAAGAAAATTAAATGCCTGGAACTTCAGTAAGACAAAAAAGTTTAAGTTATTAAAGTACTCACCCATGATAGGCAAGAAAGGACAGCAAAAAGAAGATACACGCTAGAACATCCGCTCTGCCTACGATGCCAGTCACCTGCAACATAAAACGATATAAAATAACATTATAATATAAAAAAGAAGTAAACGTTGCCGCACACAAGCGGAAGATACGAATACGTTTAGCTCATATTTATATATTGTACTTGCTAAAAACTGAAGTGCTCACTTCAGTCTGGTTTTAAAAATTCTCTTCACTCAACAAGTTGTGGTTATACGAAGCAATTCTTCGTCTGAATCGCTTTTGTCTTAGGAGCGAAAAGAGAGTAGTAGAAGTGCAATAGTGGCAAGGGCTACGTGTAGATCCTCTCAGAAAATAGGAAGCGACAGCTTGATATTGGATTTAGCGGTGTAACACGAGAAGGCTGATCCGAAAGATGTGTGAAGAAGCCAAACCAAAGATCTTCTTCATGACAAACGAGATGATGGACAAGACGAGCGAGTCCGTGAAAGTGTAAAAGAGAAAAGAAAGTGGGCGGGGTTAAGATTGTCCAAGTTATCGACAGCCCAGCACGAGTGAATAACCGAGATTCTCAAGGATCAACTTCAGCCAAGGAAGCCGACCTGCTACCGGAAGCTGGATTTACCCGTCGTACTCATCTCTCTTTCTTCCTTCCTTCCGCTCTGCTGGGCTAGAGTGTACCAGGTGTACCTTTAAAATTTACGAACCCCCGTCTATCACGGTGGGACGACCGACCTCCCACCTCTTAACGAATTAATTCCACGGAATCGCGGGGATACGATCTGCAAGGGGAACAGAAACTGCAGAGCAAGAATAGCGAGATATCAGTGAATTTCTGGTTCGTTCTCTAAAGGAATAAAGTTTGTTCTAAAGGAATATATTAAAATCCGTTCGTTAAGCCGATTATATACACCGTCTAACGTATTATACGTTATTAAGCTAACTAATATATCTAGACATTCCGATTTGATACATAAGCTGATTGTCTTAAATTTATCATCCATTATAGATTAAAATATCATTAATTTTATTTGAGTTATTCGATATAAATACATATTTGAAATAACTTATATATGATAATGTAGCGTAAAGGTGAATGGCTTGTATTAACTGTCAAGCAAATTGTTCATATCTTATCCAGCAATATATTGTTCTCCGATGTGCTTGACAAATCATTCAAAGATGAAACAAAAACCATTACCGACATTAACATTATCATTGAATTGAGAACTGTAATTATAGATATGAGAGACATTGATGAATATACGCTTTCAGCGAAGCGAGAGAGGGAGAGAGAGAGAACGGGGATGCAATTAATCATTCAATTATAACAAAACAGTACCAGCGAGGAATAACAACTAACATTTATCTTCCAAATTTGGCGTGAATTGTATGCAAATACGAAATATATGAAATACGAGCAAATATACGAAATGTACTCCCGATGCTTTGCATAAAAATGGCAGTACTGAAATATTAACGGTGCAATATTTAAAATGTCTTTTAAAAAATGGCATCATATTGTTTTATATAGTATGGTTAATCGAATACTTAAACAAACATCAAACATTTAAACAAAGCTAGCGGAATATAAACATTGAGTTGACATTTCATTACAATCTCATTTTTTTTTGTCATATCGCTGTACATGTTTCTACAGCAAGTGGACCCGGAGGAAATCTTGCTCGGGGAAACAATACTCCGTCAACGTCAAGGAGAATGAAAGCCGAGTCTCCGAAGCGGCTAGAAACGAGGGACCACAACTGAAGGGTCTGCTTAAGACAACAGAAGTTACGATGACCACTTTGCGATAGATTCCTTCATGTGCCTCTTCGGCATCTGTCAGATTTATGGCGGGGAATAATGGTCAATTGTGAAAAAAAGGAAAATGACTGATGGGGCATTTGTCTTAACTACGAATGATGGACCATTGAAAGATAAAGAAGCAAACGTGTGCGAAGTGTAAATGAATGATAAAATCGTTTATTATGCGTCTATGGTTGTAGAAGCCCGTTTGTTTCAATCCACTTTACATCAATTCTTTTCACATTCCATCAATTTTCCGAAAGCTCAACAGACATACGCCATTTTTCATTCTTAGACGAAGGTACAAACACACATAACTAAAATATACGTGTACGAGTATATTTAACGTAGAAATGATGATCTATTACGGGAACGTGTCCCACAGTTACACAGTTAGGGAATCGAGGGATTTACGACACAAATAGATATGAGATGGTGAGTGTTGATGCATTTGTTCGACTCGATACTAGTTTGCTCTAGTTTATACTTAGCTGAACTCCATTAGCATCTCACTCATTCTCGAGTTCTAATTGATTATATGAAGTACTACACTTCCTTGAAAGTTTGCTCGTTATTTCCAGCTCGGAGTCTTAGTCTTCTTCAAATTCTTTTTCTTATATTGTTATGTTATCTTTTCCATTCCTTAAGATACGAATTACCGAAAAAATCGTATTCTGTATTTGAGAATAATTTCGTTTAAAGCTATCCTCTAATCGACTATTCTAAAAAATTTAGAATATTCCTCTATAAACATATCTTGTTAAGAATAATATCTGAAATAAAGAAAATATTCTAAAATATGTCGGTGCTTAGTTAACAAATGATACTCGTCTTCGTGTTTACCAATTCTGAAGAATCACTCGTCCACGACGGACGCGTCTCGGCTCGAGTGCTTTTATATTTTTGAAAGTGTTGCTGACTTAGACTGTGCCTTGAGAAACATATAGCTGTCTCGCGATTTTGGACGACCCATCCGTTTGTCCTGACGCGAGTCCGTACATCACCCTTGTGTTTTTATGTTTTCTGGCCGCATCGACCTCTGTTTATATTATAATTTCGGGAGGCGGGAGCCATTAACAAAGAAGAAGAAGAAAAAGAAGCCTTCGTGTTTACGCATACAAGTCCGCACTTCAAGATTAAAGACTTCGAGATAAAGCTTTTTGAATAAAAATTTGTTTTTTATTCCTGAAGTGACTGCACTAGTTTAGAGTTATTTATATTTCTTTCTCCGTTAAAAGGAGAAAACAGGATAACTCTAACGTTTTCGATCACTGTATAGTGTTGTTCATTATGAAATATGGAAGAAGTGAAAAAGTAGCTGCTTCAACACAATTTACCGAAACTGATCAGCTGTTTTGAAAGCAAGTACAAATTGGAATTTTTGCGAGTGTACGTATCATGTACATATTACATGCGTGCATACATGCGTGCGTACGTATGTGTGTGTGTGGCGCGTGTGTAAAGATTAAAATATATTCTACTCCACAATAGAGGAATATTCTAAATAACACAAGCTCACAAAAAAAGTACCCTGAGCTGGGGTGGAGATCCAGCTATTCTTATATATTGTCACTGAATACGAATCTGACATCAAAATAGGACCATCCAGGGCAAATTTTCAATCTAGAGAAAAAAATGGGTCAAAAATAGAAATAAATAAGGTCATTTTTTCGCTCTAGATTGAAAATTTACTCTGGATGGTCCTATTTTGATGTCAGATTCGTATTCAGCGACTCAAAATACATAAGAATAGCTGAGTCTCCACCCTAGGTACTTTTTTTGTGGGCCTATGTAATTAAAATATCTTATTATATTAGAGGGAAATCCTTCAATTTTTACAATGTATACTTGATGCTTATTTTAGTAGAAAACATTCTGTTTAGTCGGATATACCAAAATCTAGGATAACATTTTTTCGGTAGACTATTATTCAGTATTGATAATTACTAGCATTGAAATATCTATACAAGTTTTATACAGAACGAGTGAGTAATGAAAAGGAACGTTACTAATTTAGATCAGTATATAAAAAAATCAAATAAATATCGATTTAATTGTGATATTATTTCAACTTTATAATTGTAGTTTATAATTGTGTTTCAAGTGAGCACAGTTTATGTAACAAAAAATGCATTTAGAATTTACATATAAAAAATATTATTAAACATCAAGATCTTTAAATCTTTAAATCTTTAGATTAAGACTGAATGTCTTGACCTTTCTTTATTTATTTGATTTATTCATATAGCTGTCTAGATTAACTTATTGTTTACACAGGAAGTTATAAAACTTTGATATAATGTTATCAAATTTAACTTGTTACTTAACTCTTAACTCATTTCAATGTCGTTTCCCGAAAATACACGAAACGTAAAATCTATTAGTTATTAAATTTCATATGTAGTTTAATATATATGTTTTGTACGAGTAATACAATATTCTGACAAGTATTATTGTTGCATTTGCACTCGATTCCACTTTTGTTTAACAAATTGAGCACGTCTACGCTTGGGTAATACTAATATTCCTACAATTAATTAATATCATTATTCAATGCGGTAAACCGCAGGCAACGTAGCAAGGGGAGAGAAAAGTAGTGATGTGTATCAACGATGACGTGTAACGCCGTGCAACACGTATTAAATTTCCAGCAATGCACGAATTCCCCATGTGGGTTAACGTCACAATCAATTGTGCATTAACGAAAGATTATTCTGTGATAGAGCATGTAATGAGTATGACTGTTTTAATTAGCTGAATTCGTGAATGTACCGCGAACTAGTGGAACAAGCAAGCAAATCAAACCATTATTTTAATATCACGTCCCATTGTTCCGTACGATTCAATTAACTGGTGTCCGTATAACATCCTACATAACACTCGTTAAATTGCTCACATCTGCATTTGGTGAACGTGGCGATGAAGATGCAGCTGTCTCCTTTCTATTAATATTTCTGACCTTGCAGCATATATTCATTCTGATCGTGATATAAAATTAAACGTTCAGATACCATACAGCATCCCAAAGCGGAACGCATGCGCGGTTCAATCCATGATTCGCTGTGGATCTCCTGTGAAGGAAACGTTCTACGCAAGCCGGAACGATCGCGTAACTTCATGTTTAATTTGACCTGAAACCGAGCTCTGCGGGTAAACCCATCCTACCGAATGTCCTCATCTACCCATACACCGCCACCCCTTTCCGCACTCGCAAAATTCATCCCTTCTGCGGAACTGACGCAAACCGGGGGGTCGGGTCTCTTTCGCTG